TTTATTTTATTTTATTGTGCTGGGGATTGAACTCAGGACCCTGCACTTGCCAGGCAAGTGCTTATTCTACTGAGCTATCTCCTCAGCCCTGCCATGTTTATCTTAAAATTTTGAAAAAGCCTTTGTGGGCTGGCTGTGAACTCTTTCCTGGTTAAAGCACTACACTCAGGAGGAAGCAGCTTTATTCCAAACCCTCACTACAGCTGGCTGCCTCCATCACAGGCAGCACCCACTCGTGCGCTGCACGGTGGCAGCAGGGGGGCACAGTGGCTCCATGGCTGGGTGGACATCGCCCAGAAGCTCATCAGGGCTCTGCAGGAGGCTGGGCTGTGTGCAATGCCCTCTCTAACAGGACACCCTCAGCCACCTGATCTAGCAGACAGGCGTGAGCCGGACTGAGAATGCCCTGAGTGCCAGGGAGCCCCATCTTTGAGCTGCACCCCAGGGGAGAACTCACACACACAGCTGGGCTTGTTGCCTGACCACTGGTTATTCTGCTGGCAGGTGATGGTCTTCTCGCCCACCAGCTCGAAGGCTGCCTGGCACTCGAAAGTGAGTGTGTCCCCGTGGAGGAAGCTGCTGCCGGTGCGCTTCCCGTAGGCCGGGACTCCGGGGTCACCACACCCACCCTTTTCAATCTCTGAAAATGAGAAAAAAGCAAACGGACCATTAAGAATATGCACAGTGGCCACAGTTTGGCCCAAGTTTATGCTATCGTCCGATATCTGATCATTGACTACATCAACGACCCCCAAAGAGCACTCAGTCCTTGCAACATTTAATTATAGAAGCCAGAAGCAAATTGCAACTTCAAGTAGAGCGAAAGGTTTTTGATGTGTTTCATCCAGTGCAGGGCTTCACTTGATGACCCAACGACCCAACGTTCTGACAAATACCGTGAGAACAGGCACGTCTCCTCAGCCCCACCTGCCTTCCTCTGCCACGGCTGCTAGCAAGACAGCCCCACTTCTGTCTTAGTCTCTGTGGGTTAGTCTGTATGGTTTTCACTGTTCATGACACCAGTAAGATGTTTCCTCCTCTATTTTTTTAAATTTGTATTTTTATTTGTAACTGTTTTCTGTACATGGCTACATTCATTGTGGGAGCTGGGACGTACACACGGCACAGAACATGGGAGTCAGGATAAAGTGTTTGAAGATGAATAAACATGCTTGGTCTCCAGATGGAAAGAAAACCTGCTGAAATAAACCACTTCCTGTTAAATATCTGCTATGAATCATGGACGCTAAGACTCCACATGTGCGGCTACTGCAAACTGGACTTGGCCTCATGTTTCAGCCACGAAGGACACATTCCTTAAAGTGTTTTCTCTGTCTATCCATTTGAAAATTAACTTTGAGGCTGCATGTAAGCCGTCTCAGGCAACCAGGGTTTGCGAGTAGGTGGGGCACAGCTCCGCTCCTACTGGGGTCAAGTTCCACAATGGGACACAAAGAAATTAGACAATGGATGTGACTTGGGCAAGGACAGAAGGCAGCTGGACAGTGCAGAGGGCCAGAGAGGCAGCGTCGCACCCCACGGGAGGTCCAAAACCAGCAGCTCTGTGTGGTCCACACAGGTGCCTCCTTCAAGCCCAGAAGTGTGAAACAATTCCTCAGTAATGACAGTGACAGTTCCCTTGGGAGGCTTCATTTTTGGCCCACAGTTGCCCCAAGTTTTTAGGGAGAAAATATGCCCAGAACGCAGACGTGCTTGGCACTCCTGGGGCCCTCTGCTGAGCATCTGCCTCTGTGCACCTGCTCTTGGAGCCAGAGAATGAGAAAGTGCCTCAGATGGGCTGACCCGGCCCGCAGCAGCACCAGGCCCGCCCTCGCCCGCTGGAGCCTGAGCTGCCAACAGGGATCTTGACCCAACATCCCAGCATCCAATGTGCTCCCAAGCTGTGAACAGACAAATGTCTTGGACGTTGACAGCTTAGGCGGCAGCTGGAAATTGTTGTCATGTCCACAAAGAGATGTCTTGGGAGACCTGATTCTTACTGCAGAGTTGAGAAATAACAGAAGTGATGCTGTTTCACTGGCGATGCTCTGGAGCACACCCTTTGATTGCCTTTCTAAGCCGGTACTTTATCTACCCATACTGAACTTGCTCTAGTTAAAGCAATACATTTGTGTAAAGCACATTTTCCCAATCAATAATTATTTAGTTCCCAGTGTTTTCTAATAAGAAATTAAAATTCTATTTTATTTTTTCTGAACTACTTAAGCCACCTCTGCACAGGGGCTTCGCCCCTCTCCTGGCCTCCATAGCCGCCAGGTACTGCCCCAGGGGAGCTGGCCTGGCCTGCCCCTCAGTTCCACGGCCTCCTGGACATGTGTGCTGCTAATGCTGGAGGACTGTCTTCTGCCAGATCTGAGGGAATGTGGAGTCCGAAAGGGAAGCGCAGCTTTCGCCCCAGTTTGCTCTCCAGTACTGAAGCCTAGAAGGCGACATTTCTCCTGCATGGGAAAAGTAGCTGCCAAATCACGAGCATCGAGTGGGGATTTTTAAAATAGTTTTCTGAAGAGTAAAAGAGATTTGGACTTTACCTTGCAAAGGTCTCAGCCCAAGAGTGGGAAGGGACAGTCAGGCTTGAGTACGAAGGAAAGAGTGACTGCTTGTTGCCCAGGCCGAACCTGCCGTAGATCAAGGCTGAGAGACAGAGACCCACGGGCCCGCCATCTCCCCTGAATCCATCTCACGGGCTTTCTTTTCCCTCGTCAGGAGCAGGTTCGGACAGTCTTGCGGGAGATGCCCTTCCCTTGCAGCCGGCACGCTGGCCCCAACCTGACGCACAGCGGCATCCCCCTGCTGAGGCCGTGTTTCACTTTCTCCACCACTCTCTGGTGGAGCTCCTCCCTTCCTGCCATCCACACCTTCATCTGTTCTCCCTGAACTCTTACTTTTGACCCCCTCTATTTTGGAACACCTCCGGAGCCGAGTTGGCCAACTGAGTCACAGTTATTCCTGTAAACCCGTCCAGTTTCTGCAACTCGAGGTACACATCAGAGGCTGACTGGGTGGTAAAGGCCAGGTTAGCAGTGTGGGCGCTCTGGGGCTCCTGTGGATCAAACGGAGTACGCGTCTGATCATCCTCTGAGAGGTACTCCGGGAGTGCACAGGGCTTTCAGAGGGTCCTGGGCGTGTCTCCGCCACCTTGCGTAGGGAGTGGGGTGGCTGGCAGTGGACAGTAGTGCCTGCCTTCGGGAGTGATGGCCGGCTTCCAGGTGCCGAGCCCGTCTCAGGGTTTGGGTCCCCGTCAGGTGACTGCCAGGGCACAGCGGGCGCCACGGCCCCTGCCTTGTCCTGCTCAGTTCTCCTCTTGTCTAAGCTCACTTGTTCCTCTGTTGCTTTCTAATTTTTTCCCCTTTTATCTGAAGAAAATAGGGTTAACAATGTCGACTGAGTTATCCCACAGGGTCTGATGAGTTTGGAATGTTTGCTGTTTGTCAAATATGTTATTAAACAGTTACTAAGTATACTGAGGGAATACTTCCTCTTTATCTATACTTTGGGTATAAATAAAGATTAACAAAGAAAACCACTCCACGGTGACTGTACTCACCAAGATAAGTGTCCTGAGGCTGCTGCACTCTGTCTTCTGAATGAAGTCGGCACTTAGCCATGCAGAAGCTGGGTGTCTTGCTAGAATTCCTTTCAACTTTGCTCTGCCGCCAGGCCCAACATTTGTGCAGCAGATTACGTGATAATCCAAGCACGAAAGCAGCCCTAGTCACATGTGGACAAGAACCCAGCTCTGCCCCTCGCAGTGTCACTGGGCACCTTGGCAGCACTCGCCTCTGACTGCTGTGGGCGTGCGTTCTCTCACACACTGTATCCTGGTGACGTGACACCACTCCAGCCAAGCACCACGTGGCCCTGCTCCCCGAGGGCATCAGCACACTGTCAGGCACCAGCAAGCTGCTCAGGAACGTGCACGCTGAGTCCTAACTACCGCGCCGTAGGGCGGGGCTGCAGTAGAAGATAGAGCACCTCCAGCAGTGACCCAACAGCCTGGCTCCTCAGGACCCAGGCAGTGTCAAGGCACGTGCAAGCCGAGTGTGCAAGCCGAGTGTGCAAGCCGAGTGTGCGACCTGAGGCCATGGCACACACACAGGAAGGAGGATGTGCTGGAGGGATGGGATGTTCCTCGACACCTACCATGTCCACACCTGGTCCGCGACACCCAGCCTCGACGCCTCTGGGCAAACAGACATCCTCCCGTAAGGAGGCACCCAGATGCAGGTTTGTCTCGGCAGCCCAGAGCGCTTCCACCAGCGTCCAAGAAGGAGGCGCTATCTGGCGTGGCAGCCACGCTGACCCTGATGTCCACTGCCCTTGCCTTGCTTGCTGTCAAGTTCTCTGACACTGTCTTGTTTCAAATATGTGTGAGTTAAAGAAGTAAACCAGAAGAGACCCGTATGACATCTGTGGGTTCCAGCAAGGACTTTTCATCCCAGTTTGACTCCCATCAGCTCTGAAACCCTAAACAACTCGTGCAATCAGCCTGCCCCACCAGGTGGGGCCACCAGGCCCTGGTGACTCATAACTTCCTAGCCGTAGCTTCACGGTGCCCTGGAGTCTGCAGCTAGGACTCACCCACTGATACCCAAGGCACAGCCTTAGTTTCGCCGCGGCTCAGGGTGCTCTCTGGAACTGCCTGCTTTAGGGTCCTCGAACGCGCTCTCCCGGCACAGCCCAGGGTCCCACCCTGGGGAGGACGGCGCACTAGAGCGTCTCTGTGTGTGACATCACAGGATGGTCTTGTGGCCTGGGGCCTGGTGTCCAACTCACTGTGTCCACGCCTCCTCACCGCGTCCATGACCTGTCATCGCGTCCACGCCTCCTCACAGCATCCACGCCCTGTCACCACGTCCACGCTCCCTCACTGCGTCCACACCTCCTTACAGCATCCATGCCCCTTCACCACGTCCATACCTCCTCATCGCATCCACACCTCGTCCCCAAGTCCATGCCCCATCACCAAATCCACGGCTCCTCACCAAGTCCACGCCTCGTTACCATGTCCACGCCTCCTCCCCAAGCCCACACCTCCTCACCGCATCCCCTCCCCCTCACCACATCCACGTCGATCGATGCACTGCTGTCTGGTCACCTTTCCACTGTCACAGCTGCCCCCGATCATTCCAAACACCACCCCAGGGCCAGCCTGGCTGGGAGGCCGCTGGGACCAGTTCCGTTCTGCTCCCCTCCCCTTCCTTTATCTCCCTCCTTCTCCCTTTTCCTCCTCCTTCTCCTCCTCGTTTTCTTCCTTCTTCCCCTCCTTCTGCCCATCCTCCTGCTTCTTTTTTTCTCTTCTTCCCTGGAAGTACTGCAGAGTATGGGCTCTAACCCAGGCCCCTCACACTGAGCTGCAGCCTCTGCCCTTTCTAAGCTGAGTTTCGGGTGACAGGCTCTGCAGAAGTCACTAAGCTGCCTGCAGCAAACTGGAACGTGCTGTCCTGATAAATGAAGCTGCGGAGCATGCAGGCCCATATCTACACCTTCATTCTTGGTTCGACTTCTCTCAGGGGCGCCAAAGCCCAGCGGACCTGGACTCCACCCCTCCCGCTTCCTGTCCTGCCTCCCTTCCTTGCACACACAGGCAGCGGCCGCTTCTTCCACGCCTGAGCACAGGGT